AAAAATGAAATTCGGACGAAATTCAGGACAAAAATGTGGATTCCAATCGAATTTGTATCGAATTTGATTCGAGTTAATTACATAAAGAGTAGAATAGAACATAAGAGAACAGACTAGAATAGATTACAATAGAATAGAAAAGAACAGAATAAAACACAATATAACAGAATAGAATACAATAGGAAAAAAACCCCAATAGAATAAGATAATATAGAAAAAAAAAATAAAACCGTTCAGAATTTCAAATAGAATAAATTCGCATTTGAACAGAATAGAATAAAATAGAATAGAAAAGAAAAAAAAAAAAACCAACAGAATATAACTGTCTGCCAAAATTTGAATTTCGAATAGATTAGAAAAGGAACAGAAAATAAGAGAATAGAATAGAGTAGAAAAAAAAAATAGAATAGAATAAAATAGAATATAACTGTCTTCTGAAATTTGAATTTCGAATAGAATAAATTCAAATAGATTAGAAAAGAATAGAATAGAGTAGAAAATAAGAGAATAGAATAGAAAAAAATAGTGTAGAATAAAATAGAATATAACCATCTTCCGTAAATTCGAAATGTTGAATGAAATAAATTAGAATTTGAATAGAAAAGAAAAGAATAGAAAAGACAATAGAATAGAAAAGAATAGAATAGAGTAGAAAAAACAATGGAATATAATAAAATAGAATATAACTATCTTCTGAAATTTGAATTTTAAATAGAATAAATTCAAATAGATTAGAAAAGAATAGAATAGAAAAAAGTAGAAAAAATAAGAGACTAGAACAGAAAAAAATAGAATAAAATTGAATATACCACCTTTCGCAAAATTTCGAAGGGAATAAATTAGAATCTGGATAGAATAGAACAGAAAAAAACAATAGAATATAACCGTCTGCCAAAATGTGAATTTCGAATAGATTAGAAAAGGAACAGAAAATAAGGGAATAGAAAAGAAAAGAATAGGAGTAGAAAAAAAACAATAGAATAGAGTAAAATAGAATATAACTGTCTTCTGAAATTTGAATTTCGAATAGAAAAAAATCAAATAGATTAGAAAAGAATAGAAAAGAGTAGAAAATAAGAGAATAGAATAGAAAAAAAAATAGAGTAGAATAAAATAGAATATAACCATCTTCCGTAATTCAAAATGTTTAATGAAATAAATTTGAATTTGATTAGAATAGAAAAAAACAATAGAATATAACTGTCTTTCAAAATTTTAATTTCAAATAGATTAGAAAAGGAATAGAAAATAAGAGAATAGAAAAGAATATAATAGAGTAGGAAAAAAAAAAACAATAGAATAGAATAAAATAGAATATAACTGTCTTCTGAAGTTTGAATTTTGAATAGAATAAACTCAAATAGATTAGAAAAGGAATAGAAAATAAGAGAATACAACAGAATAGAAAAGAATAAACTAGAAAAAAATTATAGAATAGTATAAAAAAAATATAACCATCTTCCGTAATTTGAAATTTCGAATGGAATAAATCAGAATTTGAATAAAATAGAATAGAAAAAACAATAGAATATAACCGTCTTCCAAAGTTTGAATTTCAAATAGATTAGAAAAAGAATAGAAAATAAGAGAATGGAATGGAATAAAAAATAGTAAAAAATAAGAGAACAGAATAGAAAAGAATAGAGTAGAAAAAAACAATAGAATAGAATAAAATAGAATTTACACCAAAAACGTGCAGGACCCTTTTTTTGGTCAGCACTAGAATCGGATCTCACGGGTATTCACACCTATGCGATCCGATTCTGCACATCGCACCGCATTTTGTGGACCGCTTTTGGGGTGTTGTTAACTTAACAGACACACCTGCAGCGGTTGGCATGAACGGGGTGCGATTCTGATGCGGTGCGGAATTTACACAGAAAACACTGCAAATCCCGCACCGCATCAGCGTGAATCAGGGCTCAGTGTGACAGCTTGCGTCTTCACAGGCGGGTGCCCCACTGCGCATGCGCAGCAATATAAACGGCTAAACCCCTTTTCCCATCAGCAGTATAGAACAGTCTTGTGACTTCAGCTGGTTACAGCTTGTAGGAGGAGTTATCATTTTGCTCTAGGATAGTGGTTCTCAACCTGTGGGTCGCGACCCCTTTGTGGGTCGAACGACACTTTCACAGGGGTCCCCTAAGACCATCAGAAAACACATATTTCCGATGTGTAAAGAGCAGCTACTGTGTAGAAAGCAGCTGCTGTGTTGAAAGCAGCTACTCTGTTAAAAGCAGCTACTGTGTTGAAAGCAGCAGTATTGGAGGTAAAACGACACTCATGAATTATAATTACTGGGTAAATAATTTTATGGTTGGGGGTCACCACAACATGAGGAACTGTATTAAAGGGTCACGGCATTAGGAACGTTGAGAACCACTGCTCTAGGAGGACGCAGAACCCCTGATCTCTGTCTGGACAGTGTTGATTGGCCCTGTGCTGATCACATGCACTCTCCCAATTAAAGGGAAAAAAAAAACCTCTCTAGCAATACACACAAAACTGATTTTACCTGATTTAACCCCAAAAATGTTGCACTGCTGTGCCCAGATCCCATGCATCGCACACGGTTGTGCTGCAGCCCCACTGACCCCAAAGAGCGAGTTCCTGCAGTTGCCCGATTGCCAAACTCTGCAGTTAAAAATGCATGGCCACCAAACAAAGCATCCCGGCCACCAAACAAAGCATCCCGGCCACCAAACAAAGCATCCAGGCCACCAAACAAAGCATCCAGGCCACCAAACAAAGCATCCTGGCCACCAAACAAAGCATCCTGGCCACCAAACAAAGCATCCCGCCCACCAAACAAAGCATCCAGGCCACCAAACAAAGCATCCAGGCCACCAAACAAAGCATCCAGGCCACCAAACAAAGCATACAGGCCACCAAACAAAGCATCCCGGCCACCAAACAAAGCATCCCGGCCACCAAACAAAGCATCCCGGCCACCAAACAAAGCATCCTGGCCACCAAACAAAGCATCCCGGCCACCAAACAAAGCATACAGGCCACCAAACAAAGCATCCCGGCCACCAAACAAAGCATCCTGGCCACCAAACAAAGCATCCAGGCCACCAAACAAAGCATCCAGGCCACCAAACAAAGCATCCCGGCCACCAAACAAAGCATCCAGGCCACCAAACAAAGCATACAGGCCACCAAACAAAGCATCCCGGCCACCAAACAAAGCATCCCGGCCACCAAACAAAGCATCCCGGCCACCAAAAACAAAGCATCCAGGCCACCAAACAAAGCATCCCGGCCACGGCATGTGACCATCCCTGTCCGGCTGTTATTGTACAGTTTAGGTGGGCTGCCAGGGGGTGGTAAAACCACAGCTCAGCCGCCTGTTTTTATCATCCCTGACTGCTTGTCTTAGAGAGTCCTTATGCAGGCCATAGACGGGTCGAAAATCGTCAGATTTTTTGGCCGAAAAAAAGAAAATCGGCCAATTTTCGACCCATTTGTGGGTTCATTGGTTAGCCGTTTTTCGGGGCTAACCAATGACTTGGAACTTTTTTTTTTTTTATCGGTAAATATTATTTATTTATTGGAAAATTAGCGTCCGATTTTGACAATCGGACGATTTTCCCGGCAATGATGGGCAAATCGGCCGATCGTTTTACCGATAAACAAATCTGCGCATGAGCCGTGACTTTCAAGAACAAAAAGAAAAAGAAGAAGAATTCCAGTCCGCTATTATATTTTATATGAAAAGTCTTGCGGTTTGCAACAATGTATCTATTTGTATCCGAATAAAAACATCTGTATCCGAAATGGAAACAAATGGATACATTGTTGCAACCGCAAGACTTTTCATATAGAATATAATAGCGGAGCTCTCTGCAGGGACAGAAGTAAAAATGCCGGCCGTAGACGGGACGAAAATCGGCCAATTTTTTTTTTTTTTTTTTTAAAAGGCTGATTTTAGACCCGTCTATGGCCTGCAAATTAAAAAAAAGTATCACAGACAGTACCTGTTACAAGTTCCAATTGCCTTACCCCTACTTTGAGGGGGGGGTCACTTTTGATCACTGTCATTGGATGGATAATCAGATACCCAGGCACTATATTAGCCTAAAATTCGTCTTCTTTTATGAATCGTTCCAAAGCCCAAGCACCTTATAGATGATGGGGGTAAAAAAAAAGAAAGCTTTGCACCCACAAGCCCCCCCCGTGGATTCTACAAGGAGTTAATCCCCTTTTTTGGAGCCGGTCACACGGCAGTTGCCCCAAATCTCCAGCAGAGGGCAACCACAGACTGCCAATCACGGCCAGCTTGGCGCTTTCAACTGGATCCCGGACAAGTCGGAATTACAAGGCATTCAAATACACAAAACAGATCCCCGCAGCGGCCAAAAGTCTCATCTGGTGCAAAGCACAAAAAAAAAAAAAAAGGAAAGAAAAGAAAATAGAAAAAAAAGAAAAAGGAGCAAAAACCAATTCCAGTCCCCCAAAAACCCAACAGCATATAGTGAGCTTGTGCAGACTTGGGGCCCTATACAGATTAGGACGCTGTAGAGACATGGAGGGGGGTCCATAGCACAGGGGGGTCCATATGTACGGGAGAGGGGGGGTCCATATGTACGGGAGAGGGGGGGGGTCCATATGTACAGGGAGTCATGGAAGACATAAAATCTTGATACAAACCTTGCTTCAGTTCATCCAAGGTGAAGCTGTTGATGGCTGCTCCCTTCCCCCATTCTCGGAAACTTCCGTGTCTGTCCAGACCGATCTCCTTACCATCTGCGCCGTGTAATAATGAGCCGTGTGTGGGGGCGACTATGATGGTGAATCGCAGCGTGTCCGGCGGGACGTCCAGGTCTTCCGCGTTCAATGTGGCCGGCCCGATCTCGCAGCTTCCCCCTTCCATTACCTAGCAGGGAATATAAAGATGAAACATAAAATCAATTCGGGGATCTGGACCTCGGAACCCAACGCCGGGCACAAGGATGAAGAGGGGAGGAGTTAGAACCCCCCACCAGGTGTTTGTTGCTTTGCATAGGGTGGAGATTTTCCCTTAAATCTGACCTCCGGCCTCCCCTCAGTCTTGCACAGGTGTACCGGCTCCTCCCCTCCCATCTTACACAGGTGTACCGGCTCCTCCCCTCCAATCTTGCACAGGTGTACCGGCTCCTCCCCTCCCGTCTTACACAGGTGTTCCGGCTTCCTCCCTTCCAGTCATGCACAGTTGTACCGGCTCCTCCCCTCTTGCACGGTTGTACCGGCTCCTCCCCTCCAGTCTTGCACAGGGTGTATCGGCTCCTCCCCTCCAGTCTTGCACAGGTGTATCGGCTCCTCCCCTCCAGTCTTCCACAGGTGTATCGGCTCCTCCCCTGGACTAAAATGGCTTCCTCTGAAATCACTGCACACTGTGAGCTTCTTACAATGTGCATTAGAAGCTGCAGCAAGTCAGATAGAGCTCCGCCTCATTTCCTGGCTGTAAGACGTCCAGTGTCATCTAGCTCCCTAATGCCCAACCTGCAGCCTTGGGGCTGCATGTGGCCCTTTGGCACTTTTTTGTGGCCCTCGGGGGCCCCTGCAGGCACTAATATGTGTTGCCTTATTGCTCTGTCATAGCAATGATTCCTACCTACATCATGTAATATGTCTCCAGTCAATGAATGTTTCCTGAAGCATGTCTAAACATGCATGTTTCCAACAACTCCCATAGCATGTTCACAGTCTCTGACCATCTTGTATCATGTTTGCAGTCTCTGACCATCTTGTATCATGTCTGCAGTCTCTGACCATCTCTTGTATCATGTCTGCAGTCTCTGACCATCTTGTATCATGTCTGCAGTCTCTCTGTATGATGTCCATCTCTGACCATCATTGTCTCATGTCAGTCTCTGACCATCTTGTATCATGTCTGCAGTCTCTGACCATCTCTTGCATCATGTCTGCAGTCTCTGAGCATCTCTTGTATCATGTCCGCAGTCTCTGACCATCTCTTGTATCATGTCCGCAGTCTCTGACCATCTCTTGTATCATGTCCGCAGTCTCTGACCATCTCTTGTATCATGTCCGCAGTCTCTGACCATCTCTTGTATCATGTCTGCAGTCTCTGAGCATCTCTTGTATCATGTCCGCAGTCTCTGACCATCTCTTGTACATGTCCGCAGTCTCTGACCATCTCTTGTATCATGTCCGCAGTCTCTGACCATCTCTTGTCATGTCCGCAGTCTCTGACCATCTCTTGTACCATGTGACTATCTCTTCTATCATTATTATTATTATATAGGATTTATATTGCGCCAACAGTTTGCTCAGCGCTAAACAAAATGAAGGCAGACATTACAGTTACAATACAATTTGGTACAAGAGGAAACAGAGGGCCCGGCTCATTAGATCTTACAATCTAGGATGTCTGCAGGCTCTGATCATTTCTTGTATCATGTCTGCAGTCTCTGACCATCTCTTGTATCATGTCTGCAGTCTCTGACCATCTCCTGTATCATGTCTGCAGTCTCTGACCATCTCTTGTATCATGTCTGCAGTCTCTGACCATCTCTTGTATCACGTCTGCAGTCTCTGACCATTTCTTGTATCACGTCCTCAGTCTCTGACCATCTCCTGTATCATGTCTGCAGTCTCTGATCATCTCTTGTATCATGTCCTCAGTCTCTGACCATCTCCTGTATCATGTCTGCAGTCTCTGACATTTCTTGTATCATGTCCTCAGTCTCTGACCATCTCTTGTATCACGTCTGCAGTCTCTGATCATTTCTTGTATCACGTCCTCAGTCTCTGACCATCTCCTGTATCATGTCTGCAGTCTCTGACCATCTCTTGTATCATGTCTACAGTCTCTGATCATTTCTTGTATCACGTCCTCAGTCTCTGACCATCTCCTGTATCATGTCTGCAGTCTCTGACCATCTCTTATATCGTGTCCATAGTCTTATCCTTAGTCTATATCCTATTGGATGTCTATGGTCTCTGATGTTAAATATTCTCTGAATTTTATGTGTGGCCCTTGATGGTGTCAAGGGCCACACTGATGACCCCCATATCACAAAAGTTGACCACCAACGATCTTGGCCTTTCCTCTTCAGCCTCACTGTCCCTGGCCTGACCTTTTTCCTTCAATCATGGAGGCTCAGCATCCCCTGTGGGCGTAGCCTCGGGCAATCTTCATGCAAATGCATCCCGCCTAGGAACACCCACTCCTCCAGACTGACATACACCCATCAAAGCATTTTCATATTTGCATAGCTCCTCCCAAGAGCCAGCCCACTGCTTACATCAGGGCTGAGGTCACTTGAGAGGAGTACGTAAAGCTATGTGCCGCATCCTTCTGGCCCCTCCCACCCACAATCTGCCTGCACTGCATAAAGAAACACAAAGGCCCAGTGATGACATCACTGGGTCCAAAATTAAATATGTAATGAAAATGGAAAGTTTTTTTTTTTTTTTTATCAATTTCATTAGCATGTTGGTGGGAAAGAGCAGATTGAGCTTCAGCCTTAGTATGACCAGCACAGTGGCGGACTGACAACTCATGGGGCCCCCGGGCAATAGAGGATCATGGGGCCCCTGTGTCCTCGCCCACACTCAAACCACACCCAAAAACGCCTATGAAAGGTACCAGGAGCATCTCATGGGGCCCCCTACTGACCCAGGGCCCTCGGCAGTGCCCGAGAGCCCGAATGGCCAGTCCGCCCCTGGACCAGCAGTATCTATCACCTTAAAGCAGAAATCTGGGGAAAAGTTTTTCCGCCCTGTGCTGTGGGGCATTGCCGGCACTGCACAGGTTAAATGCCCATTATGCTCTACAGGGGAGGACACCAAAGATATACTCACCTGACCGGCTGATCCTCCCCACACAAGAACGGTCCTTTTGGGTCCTGCCCCCCTGCGGTCCAGAGGTTTTGTAAAATGGACTGTTCCTGACGTCAGCATGTTCAATGCTCACTTCACAGACAGGAACAGTCCACCTCTGGGCCGTGGGGGAACAAAGTTTTCTGTAGGATTGGCGGCTCAGGTGAGTATGAGCTCACCCCTAGAAGAAACTGATCCAATAAAAATTGGAGTTCTGCTTTAATATTCTGGTGCCGATCGTTGCCTCTTTTTTCCGTCGCACAAAGTTGAACGCTACGGTGGCGTGACCTTCTGCTGAACCCCAGAATCTGGACGGCCTCGAGGCCCCTGATCACGCTGGGATGTTGCTGGAACACAATACGGTATTCTGGGCTGAAACGAGAACTAACAGCCAGGCTGGGAGACACGGCGCGGCAGATCGGTAATACGGTGACATGCGGCTCATACAAAATACGCCTTGATTACCGACCCCGCCAAAACAAAACAATAATTCTCTCAAAACGAGGGCCCGACATTACTCATGGAAAGAAAAACAGGATACGTTAGAGAGGGGTCCGCTCCTTCCCGGATTCTCTGTTTTGCGGCGAAAAACGTTCTGTTACTCTGTAAACACGCGGCGGGCTAAATTTAGGCTCTATGTGTGTGGCGCGGGCTTCTTCATTTGCAAGCCATTCTGGGATTTACACCAGCTGACAAGCACACATGGAAGCCGGGATTTAATGTTCCTTTATCCTCTGCCATGGACCTCTGGCATCAGATATGTTCTATTTTCATGAGTTCTGTTTACACTTTGCGGTCTGCTCCGTTCACGGGGGACTTGAGATGATCAAATACGAGCCCATCTCCGGACCTGCCAACAGGACGGCTCCTCGCTAATGCTCATCACTCCTCGCACTTAAAGGGAAAAGCCTCTACACCCAGGAAATGAATCACAAACAAAAAATAACAATTTTTATAAATATATATATTTATCTAAAAATAAATATATATAAAACAACAGTTTTTATAATATATATATATATATATATATATATATTTTATATATATATTATAATATATTTTTTTTTTTAGGTGAGGTTGGGTAGGCTATAATATATATTTAATATAATATATATATATATATATATATATATATATATATACACACACATATTATATATTATATATATAATATATATAATATATATATATAATATATATATATATATAAATAAATAAATAAATATATCTATATCTATATATATCTATCTATATATATATATATATATAAATAAAATATATATATATAATATATATATATATATATAAACAAATATATATATATTGATATATATATATATAAAATATATCTAGGTATGTAACATTTAAAAGTTATTTTTTTAGCCAAAGTTAAAATTTATCTAATTTTTTTTATGCAAAATCTCTGAAATTGCAAGTAAAACATAATGCAGTATGTACACACACTTACAAAACTATGGAGTCTATTTATATAAAAAAAATTGTTGGACAAATGTCACAAGTGTTTATTCAGCTGACACGAATTCTCACTGTATTTTATCTGTTTATTTTCCATGATCAGCTCCATCTCTTGACCATAATGTGTCATGTTCCTAAAATACCACAATTTCAGGAAAATGCCGCATTATGGCCAATAGATGGAGCTGATGATCATAGTAAATAAACTTACTAGACAGAATATAGGCATTTTTCGTGATGATTGTGATAATGCTCAGACATTGGCACAGTGATTTTTTTTTTTTTTTTTATAAACTACCCCTCCTTTATTCTCTGCCATGGATATCTGCAATCAGATACTGGTATGTTTATTTTATCTAGATATAGTATCAACATTTTTAAATTTAAATAAATAAATAAATAAATAAATATATAAATTATTATTATTATTATTATACAGGATTTATGGCGCCAACAGTTTGCTCAGTGCTTTACAATATAAGGGAGACAATACAGCAACAATACATTTCAGTACAGAAGGAATAGGAGGGCGCGGCTCATGGAGCTTATAATCTAAAGGAAGGGGGAGGTGATACAAAAGGTGATAACTGCGGGGGAGGATCTGGTGGAGGTGATTCAAGTACAGTTCTTAGGTGGAGGTGGGGTTGGCTTCGCTGAATAAGTGAGTTTTCAAAGATCACCTAAAGGCAGACAGGGTGGGGGCTGACTGTACATGCTGTGGTAGGGAGTTCCAGAGGATAGGAGAGGCTCTGGAGAAGTCCTGGAGGTGAGCGTGGGAGGAGGTGATGAGGGAGCTAGAGAGGAGGATATCATGGGAGGAGTAGAATGGGCGATATCTGTGGATGAAGTTGGTGATGTAGCTAGGGGCAGTGCTGTGGATGGCTTTGTAAGCTGTGGTTAGTATTTTGAATTTTATACGTTGGGTTAGTGGAAGCCAGTGGAGGGATTGGCAGAGAGGGGCAGCAGTCGCTGATCGGTTGGTAAGGTGTATGAGTCTAGCAGCAGCATTCACAATAGACTGAAGGGGGGATAGCCTGTGTAACGGTAGACCAGTGAGGAGGGAGTTGCAGTAATCGAGGCGTGATATAACCAAGGCGTGGATAAGTTGTTTTGTGGTGTCATTGGTCAGGAAGGGGCGGATTTTGGAGATGTTCCGGAGGTTGAGGCGGCAGGATTTAGCCAGTGAGTGG